GACAAATGACAGATGGGTTAATGGCAGTGGTTCAGCTTTAGCCTGGGGCTAGGAGATGCTTCCCAAGTTGTTCGTGTCAGAGCACTGGAGTGAAAAACAGACAGTCCTAAAGACTGGGGGTTTCTTTGGTCTTTCTTGGGACTGAGCTCACAAGGCCAACCTGGGAGTGGGAAACAGCCACAGTCACCCTCCCACTGCTGATAATAAAACTAAGCATTTCCTATCTTCTAGGAACAAAAAGCACTTTCACTTCACTGTTCCCCATTCCTTACCCTCAGAATGTTCAAATATCACTCCCATAAACAGGATTACTGTGCCCTGACCTTGTTCCCAAACAGCACAGCTTAATTTTCAAAAACTGCTTCCAAGTGATTGAATTATTTTGCAGAAGGAGAAGCTGATTTGTTTCCATGTCCCACAGCAATGCCCTGGCAGCAAATCCAGCCCATCTGCCCTGCTGCTGTTGCTGCAGGAACAAAGCTGCACAGGCATTAAGGGCTTTGCTGCACTGGGTGTGCTTGTTCCAGGCTCAGCTTTGGCCTTTCTTTCACTTGTGTGTTTTCTTCTTCTCTGAGTTAAGAGCACAGAAATACAATACAATTTTTCCCAACCATTTCCACTTCATCTGTTTTAAAATCAGCCTTTAAATTGACTTTTTTGATCTATTATGCCCAAAACAACTGCATAGGAGGAGTCTTGAACCATTGACTGAGAACAGGGAAAGCAAACTCACACACCAGTGTATTTCTTCTCTAATAGAAAAGACTCAAAACCCACACAAATACCTCCTGTGCAGCCTCAGGTTGTCATGACTAATCTCTGAATGAGATTCTGCCCAAGAAATAATTTCATCAGAAACTTCCAGATCATTTGGTTATTTATAGGAAAGTTTTGTCCCTCAGTAAGAAAATACACAACAGAACAGTGGTTTGAGGTTCACTGTCTCAGGTATTTTAGGAAATAGCTTTGACTTGTGCTGGTCTTTATCCCTCTGCTATTAAGCACCATAAGCGAAGTCAGCCAGAGTGGAGTTACCCATGGAAGAGTTACAGGAGGAACCTGGATGTGCACATACTACAAACCCCCTGAGGGTTTGGTTTGAAGGACCTTAAATCCCATCTCATCCCGTTTGAGGTTCACTGTCTCAGGTATTTTAGGAAATAGCTTTGACTTGTGCTGGTCTTTATCCCTCTGCTATTAAGCACCATAAGCGAAGTCAGCCAGAGTGGAGTTACCCATGGAAGAGTTACAGGAGGAACCTGGATGTGCACATACTACAAACCCCCTGAGGGTTTGGTTTGAAGGACCTTAAATCCCATCTCATCCCATCCCACGGGACACCTTCCAACGGCACAGGTGGCTCCAAGCCACACCATCAGGTCCTGGAAAGCCACAGTTAGGTCACCCCTAAGCCTTCTCCTCTCCAGGCTGAACACCCCCAATTCCCTCAGCCTTTCCCAGTGCCTGATTTGGTGGTGGGGAAGGAAATTCTACTTTTGGACCATTTCTTTCCCTCCTGCCTTCCTTCCCCTCTCCATACCTGGCCTCTTCCCAGTCCTCTCTCTCTGCAGCCCATCCCTGACCCCAGCTGGGAACACACACTCCCCCAGGGAAGTCAGGAATGTCATTGTTGTGTGATGTAGCAGCTTATTTGAGCTCTGAAAGTCTATTTATCACCTCCCTTTCATACACTTTTCTAGCAAGGAGCACAACTACAATGTCTCCATTCTCTTCCTTGCTTAGTCCTGTTATCCAGGAAACTCTGCAGCTTAGCAACAGCTTCTGATGACCTAAAAAACTGCCACACAATAAAAAGCAATATTTGGGGAACACAGAGGAGCTCAACTGGAGGGAAACAGTGGTGCGAAGCCTTCATCCACCTCTGCACCCATTTCCTTGTCTGTGCCTTTCATCCAAACAATTCTGTATCCATACCAGTTTCCAACTCCCAAATGGTTTTTACCCATGTTTGTTTGGCTGCTCTCTCTTTTATCCTTTAATTCTCAGGAGTAATTGGGTTTTTAACTAAAGCTTTCACAGAAAACAACCCAAAAAACCTCAAAACATAAACCCCTTAAAACCTGAATGCATTCCTGTGTCACTTTTCTGGGATGACTTTGATGTACACACATGATACAGAATTATTCCTAATTCCTATCACACTCTGGAATAGCTCTGATATCCCTCTTGGTGGCTTTGCTCCTTGATATATGTAGTTCTTTAATTAGGTCCATTCTGTAGCAAACTGATACCTGGAGACATAAATAAAAGGCTGATTTATAGATTTTCTTGTCTGTGTTAACTGTTTTTAACTGTTTTAACTGTTTTTAAACAACTTGTGTGGCAGAGAATCACAGAACATCAGCGGGAAACAAACTGAAACAAGATTAAAAACACATAATTCAGCTCATAATCTCCTTTCTTTTTGCATTCTTCTTTTGGAAGTTCTAACTGTGCATTCAAGATGTGGTACATTTCCAGCAGCCAAAGGGAAGCCTTACCTGTTGGTGCCTCATCTGTTCTATCATGTCCATCACACTGATGAAGTGGTGACAGTAATCCGAGTGGTCAACCATGGCCGTGGGGAGGGGACAACTCTGCCAGATGCTCCACTCATTCAAGGAAAGCTCATGGGTTTCTCCCTCTTCATGCTTCTGCTTTGGGAGTTCAGATGGGAAAGGAGATGTGAATTAAGAGATTGAATCAAGAGAATTTGAATCAAGAAAGTGTGAGCTCAGCCCAGAAACCAACTGAGCCCTGGGCTGCATCCTTAGGAGTGGCAGCAGGTGAGGGAGGGGATTCTCCCCCTCTGCTCTGGTGAGGCCACACCTGGAGTGCTGCACACAGCTCTGGTGTCCTCAACAGCAGAAAGAGCCCACAAAGTTCATCAGAGGACTGAAGCACCTTCCCCACAAAGACAGGCTGAGAGAGTTAGGGCTGTTCAGCCTGGAGAAAAGAAGGTTGTGTGGAGACGTCAGAGCAACCTGCCAGGAGCTGCAGGGGCTCCAGGGAAGCTGCAGAGGGATCTGATCCCTGGGTCTGCAGTAACGGGACAAGCAAGAATGGGGAGAAATTGAAAGGGGGAAATTAAGATTAGATCTTAAGCAGAAGTTCTTGCTGTGAGGGTGGTGAGACACTGGCACAGGTTGCCCAGGGAGGCTGTGGCTGTGGTTGCCCAGGGAGGCCCTGACAGTGTTCAAAGCCAGGTTGGATAAAGCCTTGAGCAACCTGCTCTGGTGGGAGGTGTCCGGGACAAGCAAGAATGGGGAGAAATTGAAAGGGGGAAATTAAGATTAGATCTTAAGCAGAAGTTCTTGCTGTGAGGGTGGTGAGACACTGGCACAGGTTGCCCAGGGAGGCTGTGGCTGTGGTTGCCCAGGGAGGCCCTGACAGTGTTCAAAGCCAGGTTGGATAAAGCCTTGAGCAACCTGCTCTGGTGGGAGGTGTCCCTGCCCAGGGCAGGGGTGGAATGAGATAGGCTTTAAGCTCTCTTCCAGCCCAGACCATCCTGGGATTCTCTGAATACAGCATCCTGCATGGAATTGTTAAAAGCAGGAGTAGAGCTTAATGGATATTGAGAGACTTCTTAATGCATTTTTAATTTACAGGTCTAACCTCCAAGACCCATTTCAAACTCAAATTGCTACGTTCTTAACCTCTAAAACCTACAGATAAATCTCAAAATGGCATTCTTAATATAGACCTTCAAATTCAGAGTTAAGTGTTATTTACAGCATCCTTTAGGCCTTCATGTCACAGGAAACATTAAACTCACTGATGTTTCTTCCAGGTTTCCCAAGGTCTCAAACTGACTTCGAGGCAACACAGGCTGCTTTATTCCATCACTCTCCTTGATCCTGTAGAGTCTGTCCCATATTTTGTATTCCTCAGGTGTCAGGGCCCAACTCTCACGGGAGTTCATTTGCTTTTGGCCTGTGGAGGGAAAACAAGAACAGGAAAATGTTTAGGGAAAAGGATACATAGAATCAAAGAACTCTGTGTGGTACCAAAGGCAAAACCACCTTCTCTGTGCCAGAAGCAAAACCAGGTACAGAGAATCTGATGTCAGAGACCAGGATCAACACAGTTTCAATGTGTCCATGGATAAATTTAGCTGTTACTTGTTTTTGGGGAGGGCATAATGTAAAGATACAGCTAGATGTAAATCACTGTCCAAAAAATGCCAAATCCCTCAAAACAGGAATCAGTGCAAACAGCAAAGGAACCTCCAAGGGATCAGCGCTGAGACTGTGACTGCTTCCAGCCCAGATGTACAGAGCTGAAGAACAGTAATGAAGTTAATTTGCCTCTGCAGACAGGATTTGGAATGAGCCTGCAGCCCACACTGCTGGAAATTAATGCACATTAGAAGAATCAGTCTGGATCTCAATCCTCTCTAGCTGCAGTGCCACAGGCTGTGTGTGCACAGGGTGCTGTGAAATGTTTAGTAGAGACTCAGACCCTGAAGGTTCAGAGTCCTCCTCAGGTCCTGCCCAGAAAGAGATGGAAAAACTAACACTGAAGTTTAAGGCCCTCATTAAACAATCCTAGAGGATCAATATTGCTATGAAGTATTTCTGACTCAAGAGCAGATGTTACACCCCATCAGAGCTAACTCCCAGTGCAAAGACATGGGAGAGGAGGAAAAAGACTTCAAGGAAAAGAAAATGAAGAACACTTCTCAGAGAGGCATTTGGAATCATAGAGCCATGGAATCATGGAATACCCTGAGCTGGAAGGACCCCCACAGATCACCAGTCCAACTCCTGCCCTGCACAGGACACCCCAACAATGCACCCTGTGCCTGAGAGCATCAGCCAAACACTCCTTGAGCTCTGTCAGGCTTGAGGCTGTGACCACTCCCCTGGGGAGGTGCTCCTGGTGAACTGGTGCCATCCAGACACATCCAGGAACTGAGAACAGACACACTGAGAACAACAGATGACTTCAGCTCTCTGTGTTGTAGCTCCAGCTCCTTGTGACAAAGACAAGATGAACCTGTGATATCATCTGTGCAGGGAGCACATGGTGCAACACTATCAGGCAAGAAGGCAGCAAAATCTGGAAACAGATCCTTCCCAAAGCTCTGGGATTCTGCTCCTGATAGGGCAAGGACTTCAATGTCAAAATGTTTCCTAAATGGAAAGAGTCCCAGATATGTGACTGCTGCCAGTAGAGAACTAGAACACAATTTCAGGCTTAAAGGCTACCAAACCCAACCAAACCAATCACCACATCTTATTTTAAGTGTTTATATTCAGAAAATCCATCCAGTCCCACCCCCTGCCATGGGCAGAGACACCTTCCACTAGTCAAGGTTGCTCCAAGCCACATCCAACCTGGCCTGGAACACTCCCAGGAATAGGAATCACACAGATGAGCTCCAGCTGTTTACAGGCTTTAGTAAAAAGCAAAGCTGTGCCCTATTGAGTAACTGCAAAGTACCAGGAGCTGCTTCTTCAGCTCTTCCAGAAGAACATTCCCATCCTGCCTGAGACTGACAAGGCTGTTTGGACACATAATTGGGATGTATTATGTCCTGTTGAGTTTAGTCACTGGCAAAGCCTCTCCCCTTCAAATGAAGCAGCATGTGCTCGTTCCATAGGTAATTACCTTCCAGAACATTTGATAAGTTATGGATGCAATGTACTACCAAAGACAAACATATCACTCAAATCATCCATGTTTGTCTTCAGATCCAAAGTACTTCCCTTTTCCTTGAACTGGGAAGAGAAAAGAACTAGCCTGAAGCAGGGAGAAGGTAGATTTAGCCTGAAGAGAGCAGGGGGTGGGATGGGCTTTAAGGTCCTTCCAATCCAAACCATTCTATGATTCTCTGATTAACACCTGCCTCTTGTGTTTGTAGCTGCAGTTTACACCCTTCAGTCAGTGACTGCATGGAGAAAGATAAGACAATGCCTGACACAGGCTATGGCTATCTAAGCACAGAACTGTGATGTGAGGATGTGCAAGGCAAAGGCTAAGGAGCCAAAGCAGCTGAACAGCTCCAGCTAACAGCAGTGTGTGCCAGAGCCCACACTGCTGGGAGCAGGTTGGCTGTGCTGTGCCACAACAACATGGGATAGCAGCTTACGGTGCTCAGAGAAACACCATAATCCTCTTACCAGCCACACAGGCAAAGAGAGCAGATTTGTGCTGCAGGGAGCTGGATCTTCTCTCCTTGGGAAGCTTTCTGCAGTTGCTTGGCTCATACTTTTCAGCAGTAATAAACATTTTATGCATCTTTGGGTTGATGCCTTCAGGGACCATCCGTGGGCTGTGCTGGTAGAAGTGAAGGGCTTTGTTTCCTGAAATAGCTTTGTTGATGCTCCTTTTGTTGCACTGGCTCTGGTTGTAAGTCTGGACCAAGAAGAGAAATAGATTAATCATATGTTGGTGGATTGTTTTTTCACAGGACTTGATCAAAACTAAAGGAGCAGCTGAGTGCCTCTGAGGTTTCTCATTATTCCATGTTCCCATATCAAGGTGTTTTCTGGTTTGGGTTTTTGAATAGATCAGGAGCAGGAACAGCACTGGGAAGAAAAAGCAGCACAGCCCTTGCCTGGGGGAAATTATAATCTGCCATTGATACAGGGATGATGCCAATTAGATTACATCAGAAACAAAGAAAGGAGGTCATGGCAAAAAAAGTGTCAGACAATTTGCTGATGTCATAGACACTCTGAGTCCTGTTAATTACACTCCACTTCATTGTGCAACAGGGAAACTAAGATACAGATGGAGAAAGGAGGGGAAGAAACTGGCGCCCCACTCTGAAACTGCTTTTCCAAGGCATTTGTGTCCTGTGCTCTTCTTTGTATCCCTGTGACAGGTCAGCGCTGCAGACCAAGAGCTCTGAGTGTGATGGGGTGGCAGCTGTGACTCCCTGAGAAAGCTGATCTTTGGAGGCAGGATCAAAGGAGACAGGCCCAAAAAGATGCTCTGAGTAGAACTGGAGCGAGCTCTGACAAACTGCCCCCAAGCATTCCAAGAGGCATCTTTTTAACCCTAGAACAGGCAAAAAAAGGTCTTTCTGTGGCAAAAAAAAATTGTAGTATCAAATGAACAGCTTAATAGACTTGGCAGTTCGCAGTTCCTGAGGTTTCCTTTCCCTCTGTTTCAAGTCAGTTGTCCTGATGGAGCAGAGAGGCTGTGAGCTCCTGCAGCTCCAAGCCCTGGGCGCTCTGAGCCCTTGGCTCCATCCTGCATCACTCCATGCCAGGCTGAGCTGCTGCCCCAGGGCATTAGGAGCCCCAGTGAAGGTCCAGCACACCTCAGCCCTCCACACACACACTGTCCCTAAGCCTAGGGGCCGCAGGGATGGCTGAGCAGGAAATCAGTGGGAGCTGCCACAGGAATTCCTGCCCAGCCTCACACTTCCACACCTGCACTAACCCCTTGTGCCCAACAAAATGTCTTTAAAAGCTTTATAACGGACTTGAAGTGGTTTGATTAATAAATATCCCAAATGGAGTAAAATCAAACCAAACCAGAAACAAACAAAACAACCCACAACACCCAAACAAATTCCCATAAATTCATATATGACCATTAATTATTTACCTGCAAGTTGTGTGATAGGGAAAAATCTCCACATGAACAGAACTGGAAGGAGACTGAATAACAAACCCTCAAAACATCCCCAAGCAAACACAAAGCCAATATTGTTCTGCAATTAAATCTATTTCCTAATCTCAACACACAAATCATTCAATACAATTACTGTCCTACCTGGGGGTAGGACCTGCCTCAGATTTCTGAGAAAATGTGGAGAACACAGTAATCCAAGGGCTTAAGTGAAGCTCCAAGGAATTTAAGGGCTTGTTTTATATGCCATTACAAGCAGAGCTTGTAGCAGCAGCAGCCTCCATAAGCAGCATGGAAAATAACTATTTACAAACAGTGTTCAGGTTTATCATTTTGAACTCTCATCCCTCCAAAGCAGCTTTTTCCCCCCTTAGGCAGGATTCACTGCAGCCTCATTCAGAATTAAATCCCTGACACCTCCAGACTTAAACCAAAGCTATGGAATTGACTGGGATCAATTGAATAACAGCAAGGCTCTGAAATTTTGGGTTACAATTAGCATATACAGATCTTGGACTCATTTGTCTGCAGCCTGTGTCACCAGAGAGGTGGGAGCAGGGCCTGTCTGGGCTCTTTCTGTCCCAGTCCTGCTCTTCCACCTCCCTGGAGGAGCACAGACAGTGCCCAGCTGTGGGCAGCTGGCACAGCTGGCAGTGGGTTCTCCAGCTCACAGCTCAGCTTTCAGTGGAGCAGGGGATTCCCAAGGAACAGCCTGTCCTCAGAGACAATTCATCATGCCGTAGCAGAGTGCTGAGGTTCAGGAATTTAGCAGAAGTGGATTTCCACCTAAGCTGATCTCTTCAGGCCTCACACGCAAGTGGCTGTGAGTAAATACTCGTCTGAATGCACAGTGTCGTCAGCAGAGCAGAGCCAATATTCCTGTGGCCTTCTCAGCTCATCCCCTCTGCACACCATGTCCTGGCCCCCAGCAAACACAGGGATTTTCCAACATTCACCCTATCATTTCATGCCAGGACAGGCTGGGAGAGCTGGGAGTGTCCACCTGGAGAAGAGAAGCTCCAGGGAGACCTTAGAGCCCCTTCCAGTGCCTAAAGGGGCTCCAAGAGAGCTGCAGAGGGACTTGGGACAAGGAAAGGAGGGACAGGAAACAGGGAATGGTTCCCACTGCCAGAGGGCAGGGATAGGTGGGATACTGGGAAGGAATTATTCCCTGTGAGGGTGCTGAGACACTGGCACAGGTTGTCCAGAGAAGCTGTGGCTGCTCCATCCCTGTGAGTGTTCCAGGCCAGGTTGGATGGGGCTTGGAGCAACCTGGGCTAGTGGAAGGTGTCCCTGCCCATGGCAGGGTGTGAAACTTGATGGGGTTTAAGGTCTCTTTCCACCTAAACTATTCTGGGATTCTATGATACTCTGGGATTCTCCTGGAACAGACTGAACAAGGAGACTGAGGGCAGACCCCATACCAACCTCCAGCTTCCTCACAAGGGGCAGCTCTGATCTCTGCTCTCTGTGACCAGGGACAGGACCTGTGGGAATGGCCTGAAGCTGTGTCAGGGGAGGTTTAGGCTGGATATTATGAAAAGGTTCTTCCCCCAGAGGGTGTTTGGGCACTGGAACAGCTCCCCAGGGCAGTGGTCACAGCCCCAAGGCTGACAGAGCTCAAGGAGTGTTTGGCCAATGCTTTCAGGTCCAGGGGGCATTGTTGGGGTGGGGTGTCCTGGCAGGATTTGTACTGGTGATCCCTGTGGATCCCTTCCAGCTGGGGCCATTCCCTGATCCCATGAGGCTACACTCACCCTCTCCTCCCGGCCCTGGGCGAGGATGACCACAATCCGTCCCTGTCGCCGCCGCCCCGTGCGGCCCATGCGCTGCACCAGGCGGATTGGGCTCTTCTGGGCGTCGAAGCAGATGATGAGATCAACCTCTCCAATGTCCAAGCCTTCCTCCCCCACACAGGTGGACACCAGGGTGTTATACCCACCCTCACGGAAACGTTTCACCACCTAGACAAGGAGTAATGGGGATAAATTCAAAGGGGAAATTGAGATGAGATCTTAGGCAGAAGCTTTTCCTATGAGAGTGGTTAGACACTGGCACAGGTTGCCCCAACCCTGGCAGTGTTCAAAGTCAGGTTGGATCAAGCCTTGAGCAACCTGGTCTGGTGGGAGGTGTCCCTGCACAGGGCAAGTACTTGAGTATCTCCCCAAATTTTTTAACATATAAAAGTTAGCAGTTGTTAATATAATATAAATGTATAAAGTATTCATATATTGTTTAGTCAGTATAATTTGGGACACCCTGAAAGCAACTGACCTCCACATAGATTTACTAATGACATGCAATGTTCAGTCACTGCCACACTGCCTGTACTCATGTAGTCATGCACACAATTTATGCCCTTTATCACTACTTTCTAGTACAATCTCTTTTCTTTACCTCCAGCTGCTCCTTCTGGGTGAAGCCTTTAGTGCTCTTCCCTGTGGAGTGTCCCACAAAGGTCATGGCCCTGACAGTGGGGCTGAGCCGGGACAGCATCTCGGCGATCTCCTGCACACTGTCCCGGAACGAGGAGAAGATCATCACCCTGGTGTCCCCACAGGGGCTCTCACTCTTGCCTCCTTCTGTTCAATGTTCAAAACACAGGAAAGCATTTTTATGCACCATCTCAATAGAATGTGACAAATAAAAAAGGACAGGGCATCCCACAAGTGACACATTGACAGCTCTCATCTCACTTCATGGGGAGATAAAACATTCCAAGATATTCCTCCTTGAAAAACTCTTTGGAATCAAAGCAGTGTTCTAAATGTGGAGAATTTACATCCCAAAAGTTTTATATCTGAGGTACCCTTAGCAATGTCACTGTGGAAAGCTCAGGCTGGATGACACGTGTCTTGGAATGAAGCTCAAGGTGTCATCTTCTTCGTGTCAGGCATGGGAACAGGCTGCCCAGGGAAGGGTGGAGTCACCATCCCTAGAAGTGTTCCAAAGGCCTGTGGATGTGGCACTTAGGGACATGGTTTAGTGGTGAACATGGTGGTGCTGGGCTGATGGTTGGACTTTATGATCTTAGAGGGCTTTTCCAACCTTAACAAGTCAGTGTGCTCAGGATGGCAAATTACACAGAACACATTATCATATAATCATGGAATGGTTTGGGTTGGAAAGGACCTTAAAGCCCATCCAGTTCCACCCCCTGCCATGGGCAGGGACACCTTCCACTGGCCCAGGTTGTTCAAGGCCAAGGAATGGGGAATAGAGAGCACACAACTATCCTGATTTCTCCTCCTCCAGACAAGAATTTTCCATGAGCCCGTCAATAAAACCTTGAGTGCTTGTTAAGATCCCAGACACAATGCCTGTATCTCTGCTCCACCTGAAGGCTCAGAAATCAAAGCCTGGATAAGTTTTAAGGTGCTTCCAACCCAAACCACTCTAGGATTCTATGCAAAAATGTCTCAAAGAATCAAATCAGAACCTCAGTTCATCAAAAGAAGGTGGAAGAGTATCAAATATGAAACCTGGTTAAGATAACTCCACAGCAGTGCACAGGATTGGAAACAAAAGGCTATAGCTTGGAAAAATTATTGCTGTTCCTGATGTTTTCATTCCAAAAGCGACAAGTGAGTCAAGAAGCTGAAAATTCCTAAAAGCAGAGGGACCTGAATAATGTCTTCATCAGGGTGAAAAGCAATGAGAGACAGGTTCAGCTGTTTGGATCCTGTTTGCGTTGTTGGCACTTACGAGAACATCCCTTTTTCCAGGATTTGAAGTGTTCTATTACAATTTCCTCCAACTTCCTTAACTTTGGATGGCTGTAGATAAACTCCTTTTTCTTTTCAGGCACTGGAAAGGAAACAATGCAATGAAAGACATAAGTCAACCTGCAACAAGCATGAAGGTTCAGTGGGCTCCATTTCCTCCCATTTATCTGAGTCAGACACACAATTCTTCACTCTAATTCTAATTTCATTAAGCTAAAATGCTAAACTGATGACAGTGATGTGTTCAATCCTGGGTTTGACAGTGTTGGCACTTTTGTTACAGTCAAACTAGTGAAACAGGAATATTTTAACCTTCATTTTAAACCAAATTCAAAACTTTAAACATAGAAAACTTGTTTGAGAGTAGCTAAAACCACTGGGGAGAGAGGGAAGCAAGGGAGGAAAGGGAAGGGAGGGAAGGAGGATTGATTGGGAAGACAATCCGGAGTAAGAAGAGCAGGCAAGTGTAGTACACCTCTTAAACAGAAACACTGGGTCCCTAACAGGGAAATCCTGAGCTGTTTTACCCTGGTAAACACTTCCATTGACTGGAGCCAGAGCTGTGTCTGCAAACATATTTCGGAGCTGCTGGTAGAGCTTCACAAAGTCCTCATTGCGTCCCAGCTCGTTCTTCGTACGGGTTAGCCCTTTGGAAAAAGTTGGGATACCTCAGGATTTCATTGCCTTTCCCAAACATTCTCTGCCATTAACACTGTGCTAATACATTTCCAGTTGGGAGGGAGGGGAGCAAAATACCAATCCCATCTGCACCCCTTCACCCTAGAGGCTGTTTTGTGCAAACTCAGCCATACAGAGGAGGCAGATGAAATGGAAGGGGTGGATAAAGGGCAGGAGGTTTCTGAGGATGCTTCACCTTTGGATCCATCCATAATTCCCCAGAGGTAGATAAATAAGGAGCGGATTCCCATCTGCAGCAGCAGTTCATAACCATGGTACAGACTGATACAGAGTGCAAAGTCTCCTTCAATGATGCCTTGATGGGTTCCCTGGGAAAACCAAATGGATTCAGCATGAAATTACAGAATTACAGGATCATTTAGGGTGGAAAAGATCTCCAAGCCCATCGAGTCCAACCTGTGACCCATCACCAACTTGTCAGCTAGACCAGAGCACTGAGTGCCTTCTTGGACACCTCCAGGGATGGTGACTCCACCACCTCCCTGGGCAGCACATTCCAATGCCTGACAGCCCTTTCCATGCAGAAATTCCTCCTGATGTCCAACCTGAACCTTCCCTGGCACAGGTTGAGGTGTTGCCTCTTATCCTGTTGACACCTGAGAAGCAGAGCCAAAGCCCAGACTGATGAGCAGCTTATCTGTCACAGCCTTCAGGGAACAGATCTCACATGCCCAATGAAGGCAATTCCTTTTCCTCCTCCAAAATACCTGTGTTATCTTCCAAGATTAGCTCATCAACCCTCAAACTCTGATAACTGAGCCCATCAGGATTTAGCAAAACCAGAATCTAAGTTCTCAAAACACTTTCATTTTAGAAATAGAGTAGTTTATCTTTTCCTTCACTTTCCTATATTACCATCAAGAAATGCAGTATAATTAGGCATATGTTCTAGACTTCCTAGATGCTCTTTAAGGCCCCTTCCAACCCAAACCATGCTATGATTCTCTGATATTTTATTGCAGGGCTAAAAGCAGAAATCTATTTAAATCTACTTAAAATACAGGAAATGTTGTAACTAAGGATTATTACTATTTATTCACTGTTTTAATGACATGAAATAAAGACAATTACCATGTGCTGTGAAGAAGGATTCTTTCTATACTGATCTCTGGCTAGGATGATCTGGTACTTGGTCAGGCTGGGAATGTCCCTCCTGGCTAACACTCCCAGTTTAGTCAGGCGATCAGTGAAGGCTTCCAACACCTGGAACACAAACACAGCAGTGAAGTGAAAACACAGCACAAGTGAAGCGGGATGTGTTTATTCTTACACATCTTGCACGACATAAGCAGCTCGTTTATATTGTTTGAAGCATAGAATTCTTCAAACCAAACTGCACTGAACTCTGATGCTTTGTTGCTGCACCAGGTAGCACCTGGAGCTCTGCCTCAGTGAAAGGTTCTCCATTCTCAACATGCTTTTAGGCTAATTTAGTAAATGTTTTCTAAGTTCAGTAGCACTATTACAGCTTGGTGAAGGGCCTGGAGGGGTCAGGTGAGTAGCAGCTGAGGGCACTTGGGTTGTAGGGTCTGGAGGAGACTGAGGACAGACCTCAGGGGTCTGCAGCTCCTCGTGAGGGGCAGCTCTGATCTCTGCTCCCTGTAACCAGTGACAGGATCTGTGGGAGTGGCCTGAAGTTGTGTCAGGGAAGGTTTAGGTTGGATATCGGGAAAAAGTTCTTCCTGCAGAGGGTGTTCAGGCACTGGAAGCGGTCCCCAGGGCAGTGGTCACAGCCACAAGGCTGACAGAGCTCCAGGAGTGTTTGGCCAATGCTCTCAAGCACAGGGTGGGATTGTTGGGGTGTCCTGGGCAGGGCAGGAGTTGGACTGGATGATCCTTGTGGCTGTCCCTTCCAGCTCAGGGTATTCCCTGACCCCCTGAACATGGTTCCCTAAGGATTTGTGCTCTCCATGCTAGAGACAAACACGACCCTGCCCCCAAGATAACTATGTATATATCCAGCAACTGAGAAGAGGAAACACACACTGTGATCTGCAATGGCACAATGAGTGACAGAGCAGAGAGGGAATGGAACGGGATGGACAACCGGCTGTGAGCTCAAGCTGCAACTCGCTCTCTCTGGTCACCCTAATTCAACAGTATTTTGGCCACAGGAAAACTTGTCTTCATCTTTGAGAAGCTTAAATTAGGTGAAGGACTAGGCAAGAAGTTAGCAAGTTGTGTGTGGAAGGGCTGGGAGTCAGGACGTGTGAACAGAGAGCAGTGAGCCCCCATCAGACTGTCCTGGTGCAGCAGTGTTCCCATTCCCTTGGGAATCCACACCAAAACACAGTTTGTCTTCATCCATCACATGTACCTGCTTTCCACATGGCTGGAACGAGGAGAATAACCTGCACTAATGCATCCTAATCCTGTTTTTCCTCTTTGTTTCTCAGCCTTAGGTGGTCAGGATTTTACCACAGACTTAGTTTTGCATGAGCACTAACTCTGCAGTAATTGGAGTAATCAGATTTGTCCTACAAAAGTTGTTTACAACCTGCTGGTCCTCGTGGCTGGGAGCAGCAAAACCACCTCAGTGCACAACAACAGCCTTCTCCCAAGGCACTCCTGGGGCTGTCAGACAGTTCCCCATGGCTCCTTCCATGCACACTGCATTTTCCAGGTTTTCCGGGCAGTTCAGCACCAGCACAGCTGCCCTGCACTAAGAGGGCTGTAGTGTAACAAACGTCTAATCCCTTTAGTGCTGGTCTTCAGCTCACTGAAAATCATCCAAGTAAACCAATAACAGCTCTGATTCAGGCCTCAAACAATAGGCTAAGCACTATGCTGAAAACATAATTCCAGACTCATTTGGGTTGGAAGAACCTTAAAGCTCATCTTGTTCCACCCCCTGCCATGGACAGGGACACCTTCCACCAGCCCAGGTTGCTCCAAGCCCCATCCAACCTGGCCTGGA